ATCGATGCCACCTTGGGCACTTGCGGGGCGTCCAACTCAGGAGCAGGAGACCGAGGTAGACCTAAAACCCTTCTATCACAACACCACCAGAAATCCAGTCTACCCCAGCTAAGGCAAAACGTGGGGCCACATTCCTAATCGGGAGGCCAAGATGCGGGATGCCTAGGGGTGAAAGAATGGATTAACACACCGGGCTTCGGGGACGAAGCCCCTCGTAAGGGGGGGGGGGGGGGGGGAGAGTGTAACACCCCGTGTTACGATCCCAAAAACCAATAAATCATTTAACCAATTACCCAAAAGAAAGAATTAAATCACAATAATTAATTAGGAAAGGCCCACCATAGTCCATGGACCCTTATCCCTAAACCCAATCCTTAGTCCCAAAAGGAATAGAATTAGCAAGCCTATAATATTAGTTCCTAATTAGGACTCCTAAATAGATAAATAGGGGACTTAAGAGGCACCTAGAACCCCCACCACAATAATCTCTCACCACCCAAAGAGCTCCAAGAATCCCCTTAGAAGAAATCAAGAAAGCAAGAAAGCTTAAAGAAAGTGTCTAAGCATGGTTTCGGGTTCCACAAAGGTTCCCGGGGCGTTTTTGGTGAAAAAGAGTCAGTGGGGGGTGGGGGACCCGCCACCTACCCGCGGCCTACTTGGGCAACGCCGGCAGCGGGCAGCCGGCGGGCGGGCAGCTACCCGCCGGGCACCCGCTACCCGGAATAGTGCCGCCGGCGGGTGACCCCTCACCCACCGGCTACCCGCTGGTTTGTACCCCACTTCGGGATCCCGGCTTCCCCGTTTGATGTTCCCCCGACCCCCATGGTGTCCCAACGGACTTCGTCTATCGTGCCTATGTCTAATTTGATTTTCGGGTACCGTTCGTAGGTCGTATGAGTTTTATATATTGCATGCTAGTTGAATTGGTATCCCGTTGACCTAGGTGAAAGACTCTTCTTCCTTCGTCTCAGAATATTTCCTTCCAGTTGGAACTGAGGAAACAGATACAAACTCTGAAGGCCGGCGCCGTAGCCCTCCACTCCCGACTCCTCCAAAAGCGTGAAGGCCGAACGCAGGATCAAGAGGCTTTCACTGAAGAGAAGGAGGCCTTTCTGAAAGGAAAGGGGAGAGCAGTCGGCCGAAATCTACAGGCTGACCCAGTTTCTCAAAGAGTAGAAGAAGAAGGTTAATTCTGCTATGTTCGACTACAAGAGGTCGACCACGTTCAAGGTGGATGCCCTCGCTGAACCACTCATCCATCTGGAGGAGCTTGGGAGGAAGTGGCTGGCGACCCCTGCGGGCGACGACTACCTAGTTGAGCTGGGTGAGCGCGACTATCTCCTCAGCTACAGTGACACCCAGCACAAGGCCTATGACACCTTGCTGGCTCGCGACTCTTCCTTTACCCCCGAGGGTTGGGGTCTAGAGCCACACGTAGCCTCTCCTCAAGGGCCCGCGACTACTGAAGCCGACACCTCTCTGGTCGCGCAAGTTCAAGCTACTACTAAGGTCCTCAACACATCTTTGCTATTGGTCGGGAGGAGCAGTATACTAGCGAGGCGCTTCCTCAATTAGAGAGTCCTTCACCCACTTTCCCTACTGGACCATCGGTGGGTGTGCAAGGTGAAGGTTCTGATCATGCTGTTGTCGCGTCCCCTTCTTCCAAGTAGCTTTTATCTATTTTTTCTTCTTTTGTAATGGGGTGTCTGCCCCCTTTTTGAACTTGCTTATATAAGAACACGCTTTTGATTATCATCTGATTTGTCTTTACTTTACTCAAATGCCCCTTTCCTCTTGGCTTCCAATTTCTAAGGGTCAAAACCCTTCTTTCCTATCGCAGCGTACGCGCGAGTCTTTTATTGGGAACGCCCTTCGAGTCTTTCTTGGCTCATCCGAGTCCCTCAGTTGAGGCGTCTCTCGGTTGTAGCTTTTCTTTCTCAGAAACTTCTAAGGGTTTAGACCCTGGTTTCCTTCTTTACTCGCCGAGTCCCTCAGTCGAGGCGACACTCAGTTGTGACTTTTTCTTTCTCAAAAACTTCTAAGGGTTTAGACCCTGGTTTCCTACTTTACTCATCGTGTCCCTCAGTCGAGGCGACACTCGGTTGTGACTTTTTCTTTCTCAGAGACTTCTAAGGGTTTATACCATAGTTTCTTTCTCTCTCTCTCTCTCTCTCTTTCTTTTTTTTTTTTGGTCTCTATTGCTGTGAGCGCAGCTCGCCCTGAGCTACCCCTCGGGATTTGCAGTGAACCCTATTCGGCATACTGAGCGATCCTTCACCGACTATGTGTCGGCCAACTTCGCGTTCATCGCGTGTTAGCTGCCTCCATGACTATCGTATGTTGGTCGACCCCGTGACTATAGCGTGTCAGCCAAACCTGTAGTTAACGCTTGGGATTCGCTTTTCGTGTCGCTCGGCCCTTTCTGCGGGTCCTGGCGGCTCTCGGCCGTTACTTTTCTAGAATTTTCTAAGGGTTCGAACCCTTTCTTTTCTCTTTTTTTTTTAGATGACCCTCTGGTCTTCCTGCCAGGGAGTCGACACCACTTAAGGTAAACACGTGATATCTTTTATTTAAAATTCTTCAAAAAGGAATGGTGTTACATTGGAATCTAACCTTTTACTGGCAGTATTTCTTTAAATGAACCGTGTTCCAAGTCCGATCGATGAGCCTAATTGTGCACATTTTTTGTATTGATTTATCTATATTTGTGTAGGCTTAGGATCATGATTTTGGTGAATTAATTGCATAATCCTTTATTTTACTATTTAGTTATGGTTCACACTCGTCTTGAATGTTTTACGGTGTTTGTTAGTGTTTTTGAACCATTGTAGGTCAATTCTATGATCAAGTGAAGTTCTAGGACAAATTTAGAGTCAAAATAGACCGAAGGATGTGTATACAGCATTTTCGACGCATCGAACCAAAGGCTCGATACGTCCAAAAATTCCAAAGAGCAACTGTTCGAGAACATCAGGTCATGACGCGTCGAGAAAGACGCGAAGCTATAAAAAGAAGCGCTAAGCGCTAATTTTTCTTTACTAAAAATAAAAGGTCGCGGATTTCAAATCTCCAATTCATACTTCAATCCAACATTCAAAATTAAATTCCATATTCAAATTAAAGCATAAAGGCGGCATCTTTTATTAATTAAATAAAGAAATTTTGATTTCGGTCCAGATACAATTTTAGTCCAATTTTGCACAGAATTCCTATTTCAATCAGGATTGGTTCTGGGCTTCTAGCTATAAAATCCCACCTTCCTCAACCCTGATATCCATTCAGATATCCTTGGAGACAAGAAAAAGAGAAATCAAGAGCTGTAAGTTGTCCTGGGAATCAAGAAGAAGACTAGGGAGATTTGAGAAAATTGCCAGGTTCATTCTTGTACTCTTTTGATGATTTCTAATTCTTTAAATTTATTTGCTATGTATAATTTAGCCATGCTTGGCTACATTCTTTAGAGATTCTTGGGTAAAAGTGTTTATGAACCTATGTGCCTGAGCTCTCAGATTCTTTAAATATATTATTATTTGGGTTTAATACTTGTATTGCAATTGTGATTTTATTGTTTTGATGCTTGTAATTAGTGGCCATAGTTACTTGTTTCGTTTGCTTTGTTTGTGTCACAGCGAGAGTTGGGCATAACTTAGGGCACACACAATTGCACCTAACTATTGCACCTTGAGAAATGGTAATTTTGTTACGGAGTTTAATTAATGATTATTGCACATCGAGAGATGGTAGTAGTTAGGAATTTATGATGCTTGTTCTTGTTTTATTGGGTGTTTAAGCCACGAGAGTAGAAATTCACCAGTGTTAGTGACTACGAGAGTAGCTCTATACCACTTTGCATCCTCACACTTGTATGAACCCAGATTTAATATTACATTAGGATAGGCACTAGGGGACTTCTAGAAAATTCTTCTCGATCTGAAGGTTTTCCTCATTTCCTTTATCCGAGTAGTGAAGGACTCGGTGAGTGGGTTCTACGACTTCCAACGAGACATTTGCCTCAAAATCGTAGGCCAACGAGAAAGGACTCTCACCCATGGCCCGCCTCTGAGTGGTCTGATATGCCCACAATACTCAGTCTAACTCATCGGCCCAGTTTTTGCCAACATCCCCGAGCTTCTTCCGAATGCCATCCACAATGGTGCGATTTATGTTCTCCACTTCCTCGTTGGCTTGTGGGTAAGCAACCGACACATTGGTTTGCCGGATCCTATGCCGTTGACAAAACTCAGTGAATGGTTGACAATCAAACTGTCGGCCATTGTCGCTGACCACATGCTCGGGAAGTCCGAAGCGATAGATTACTCTCTTCCAATTGCACCTAACTATTGCACCTTGAGAAAGGGTAATTTTGTTAGGGAGTTTAATTAATGATTATTGGACATCGAGAGATGGTAGTAGTTAGTAATTTATGATGCTTGTTCTTGTTTTATTGGTTGTTTAAGCCTTGAGAGTGGAAATACACCAGTGTTAGTGACTAAGAGAGTAGCTCTATACCACTTTGCATCCTCACACTTGTATGAACCCAGATTTAATATTACATTAGGATAGGTACTAGGGGATTAAACACTTGAATCCCAGGGATCTCAGTCTCTCTCTATTGTTTTCATTACCCTGAATCATCACTTTATTTTATTTATTTATTTATTTATTTATTTTATGCAACCATCCAAGTCAATCGTTAGGATTAGCTTCAAAGAATAATTTAGTAATTGGTGCTTAATACCCCACTTGCCTATGGATCGATTACCAGATACTCCGGGTATTATTTGTTTGCAAATATACTACAATCAAATTGGCGCTGTTGCCGGGGAAGTGGCATACAGTATTAACATTAGTGAAATCTTTATTCTAGGAGTCTAGTCCATTTTTATTTTATTTTATTTTATTTCAGCTAACCGTCAACGACTTGTTCTTGTTGAGCGTGATTTTTACTTAGAAAACAGAGAAGGATGGCACTGGAACAAGGAAACCAAGCTTAAAGATCAATGTCTGACTACCTTGCTCCAGATGTTGAAGAGCATGGTAGCATCAATATTCCAAATGTGGAGGGCAGCAACTTTGCGATCGATCCGGCCATACTCAATATGGCCGCGTCTGATCGATTTGGAGGGACACCCACGGAAGATCCCAATGCTCACATCACCAAGTTCCTACGACTTTCTGGCACCTTCAAGATGAATGGAGTCACTCAAAATGTTGTCAGACTTAGGCTTTTCCCCTTCACACTAAAGGACATGGCTGATGATTGGTTATCCTCACATCCAGATAACCCTTTTTACACTTGGGAAAAATTGCATGGAGAATTTTTGAAGAAGTTCTATCCTATCTCCAAGACTCAAAGGATGAGAATGGCAATTCAAAACTTTAAGCAACTGGCAACTGAGTCTCTAACTGAGTCCTGGGAGAGGTTTAAGGAGTTGAAGAGGCAATATCCACACCATGGGTTTCAAAGTTGGGATTTGATGATGGCTTTTTATGAAGGATTGCTTGATAATTCTAGGATTTTGGTGGATGCTTCTTCTGGTGGTTTGTTCACAATTTTGGAGCCAACACAAGCCGAGGATCTATTAGAGAAAATTTCTATGAATGGATCTACTTGGTACACGGAGAGGTCTTCACAAAAACTTGTAGGAGGAATTCATGAGGCGGAGCAATTAACCGCTTTGTCAACAAAGATAGATAATGTGGTTTCCATGGTTCAAAAGCTTGCCCAAATCACCGTCCAAAAACACAATGTAAGTGATGTTTCTACCCCTTATACTCTTGGTCAAGTTTTGATGTGTGATCTTTGTGGTGGTAGACAAAATTCGGGGGATTGTCTCAACGACTTAAATTTCCAAACCCCTATGGAGCAAATTAATATGGTGGGATATAATAGGTCTATCAATAGTCTTTCCAACCTCAAGGGGGCTACAATCCTAATAATTCAAGGAACCACCCCGATTTTTCATGGAGTAACCGAATGGGGGCTGTCAATCCTCAACACTTTGTTAATAGAGGTCCTCTAGGTTTTCAAAGTACTCAAGTTCAATCTCAATTACCCACTTTGGAGGCTCCACCACAATCAAATTTGGAAGCTATTGTGGAGAAGATACTTAAGTCACAATTGCAAAGTGAAGAGAGGTTTAGGCAATTAACAGAGAGGGTGGAACAATTGAGTGCCCATAATAAGATGCTTGAAAATCAACTTGCAAATTAAGCTTCTACGTCTAGCACCAGAGTCACAGGGAAGTTGCCAGCCAGTACTGAAAATCCCAGGGAGCATGTGAATGCAATTGTTACAAGGAGTGACAAGGTACTTGAAGAGCCGTCTCCTCCAATCAAAGCATCAATTCCAAATAGAACTGTAGAAGAGGAGATACAAAGGATACTTGAGAATGTGGAGGTTGAGCCAACTATTGTGAAAAGTAATCCACAAGTAATTGATGAAGGAAAGAAGCCCGTAAGAAGGTATGAAAATCCCTTGCCTTTTCCTTTACAAACTCAGAAGCAAAGTAGATGGAAGAAATTTTTGGAAATAGTTGAGAGTTTGAAAGCTTCAGTTCCCTTACTTGATTTGCTTTCACAAGTCCCCTCCTATGGAAAATTTTTGAAAGATATACTTGCTAAAAGGAGAAAATATGGGGAACTTGAGATGATTGCAATGGCGCAAGAGTATAGGGTCTTGACACCCAGAGTTGGAAGGAGAGTGACTTAATATAAAGATCCAGGGAAGTTCACAATTCCTTGTATTCTTGGGGGTCGTCCTATAAAAGGATCCCTTTGTGATCTTGGAGCCAGTGTCAGTGTCATGCCTCTTTCACATTGTAAAAAGAAGAATTTTGGTGATCTGAAACCAATCAAGCTCACATTGTTCATGGCGGATCAGTCTATTTCAACCGTTGTTGGAATACTTGAAGATGTTCCAGTTCGTGTGGATAAATATTTTGTCCCTGTTGATTTCATTGTAATAAATGCTTAGGAAAATCCAGACATTCCCCTCATCTTGGGGAGAACTTTCTTGGCCACAACCGGAGCATTAATTGATGCAAGGAAGGGAACGATAATTTTTGACTTTCGAGAAGAAAAAGTCGAATTTAATGCCTTCGAGGAGAAAAGTTCATGCAACATAGTGCATCTAATGAAATTGGATGATGACTACCTCGCGAAACAAACGGGATGAGCACTCCATAACCAGGTTGAGTCGAGCTAGCGACGTTAAACTTAGCGCTTCATGGGAAGCACCCCATGTTATCTTTTATTGCTTTCCTATTTATTGCTTTCTAGTTTAGTTTTATTCCTTTCTAGTTTCGTATTTTATTGCTTTTTAGTTCGTCTTATTTTTTTTTTCTTTTCTCTTGTTCTCTTATCTTTCGTTTTGCATCAAGGGCGATGCAAATTTTTAAGTGTGGGGGATGAGTCAATAACTTGGGTAATTTTAAAATTTTTGCTTTTTCTTGGTTGACTCATATGCTATTTTTGGTAAATAAGTTACTTGTCTTAGCATGCAATTGCAATTACTCTCTCTTGTTGGTCTGTGGTTTTTTTTTGTGGTGCTTGCTGCATCTCAATTTGTGATTGATGATTTGAGGTGTAACATATAATTGATCTATTCCCTTGCCAATAGCTTCGTTAACCACATAATAATTGGATTAATTCTTAATCTTGTGTGTTATGCATTGCTAGTGAAAGCTTATGTGAAATTCCGGTCATGTGTGTTTTGCTAGAACTTGCCTCATTACTCCCTAAGTGGAGTCTAAGTTTTGCATGTTTTGAAGTGATTTAGGCCATTTTTGTTTAGCCATAGCCTTTAAACTTGTCCCTACATATGTTTTTATCCTTTGTGACCCCATTGTGCCTCTCGTTTGTTTAAATAAGTGTTAAGCACTTATCCCCTCATTGAGATTATTTTTATTTGTGTTACCCCCATTATTAATCCCTTAGCTTTTGGCTAAATATTTCCCTTCTAGCCTTTTGAGAGAATGAAACTTTTATCTTTATTTTTTCTATAAGAAGAGTTCTACGGAGTTGTGCCAAAAAACAGCTTATGATACAAATGTTCAAGTGTTGGGGTCGTGATTGATTGATTGGATTAAAATTATCTTGCTAAATCCAAAAGAAATCCAAAGAAATGAATCAAAGAAAAGATGAGAAAAAAAATAAAAATAAAAAGGAAAGAAAGATTGAAAGTTTTGAGTTTGGACCCCCACTTCACCAAAGAGTTGCTGTGTTCTTAAAAGAAATTTGCTCCTTGAAATTTTGATTATGTCATTCTCTTCAAATTTTGAAAATTTTAGATAAATTGTGACATTCTCTCTTTTTGATTAATTTTTTCATACCACTTTTTTGTTAGCCATTACCCGTAGCCCCATTACAAGCTAAATAAAGTCCTAGTTGATCTTAACATGCATTCTTAGATTTGATCTAGGGGAGTATGAAGGGAATGCCTATAGGATCTCATTCAGGAGCCGTGTTTTGTATAATATCAACTGAGTATTTGTGCACACTTGATCCTCACGTACTTTAAATTCTTGGTGCTTGGTTATTGGCTTGAGAATGAGTTTTATGTGCCAAGCTAATTTAATTCTTGAATATTGTTGTTTTGCAGTGAGTTGGTTGGTGGTTCGAAAAGTTGTGCAAGAGAGAGTATGAGTAATTTGTATGTTTTGATTTGTGATTTATTCGTGTTTTTGCTTGAGGACAAGCAAATGCTTAAGTGTTTAGGAGTTGATGTGAGCCTAATTGTGCACATTTGTGGTATTGATTTATCTATATTTGTGTAGGCTTAGGATCATGATTTCGGTGATTTAATTGCATAATCCTTTATTTTACTATTTAGTTATGGTTCACACTCGTTTTGAAAGTTTTACGGTGTTTGTTAGTGCTTTTTGAAACATTGTAAGTCAATTCTATGAGCAAGTGAAGTTCTAGGACAAATTTAGAGTCAAAATGAACCGAAGGACGTGTACACAACATTTTTGACGCGTCAAACCAAAGGCACGACGCGTCTAAAAATTCCAGAGAGCAACTGGTCGAGAACATCAGGTCTCGACACGTCGAGTCATCGCTCGACGCGTCGTGAAAGACGCAAGACTAAAAAAAGAAGCACTGAGCGCTAATTCTTCTTTCCTCAAAATAAAAGGGCGCGTAATTCAAATCTCCAATTCATAATTCAATCCAAATTCAAACTTCAATTCCATATTCAAATCCTTTATATAATAAAGCTATATGGTTTGAGAAATAATTAATGTTACAATAAACGCCACAACATCCTTTATTATAAAAAAAAAAATTAAAAAATATAAAAAGCACAACATTTAAAAAATAAAATAGCTATATATAATATAATCATATAAAAAATATACTTTTGAAAAATAAAATAGCTATATATTATATAATCATATAAAAAATGTGTTCAATTAGAGTTTAAATTTACACATACAAAATTTGAAATTTGCTTTCCAAATGTAATTATCTTAGTTATTATTTGTATTGTGAAAATTATAATATCGATGAAATACAATTAAGAATAAATAAATGTTTTTTTTTTTTTTTTTGAAAGTTACTGGTCCTATTATGTAAATTATCTCTATAAGTGTATTTGAATATGCACATAATTAGAGATTATATTAACCATACAAAATTATAATTATAATTTTAATTGTAATTTTGTATTCTATAAAAATAATAAATACTTGACCAATGGAAGCTCAAAAATATTATTATATTAAATAATTTAAAATATTTTAGTTTTTCTATTTTTTATTTATATTTATAATAACATAATTTTTTCCGTGCATCGCGCGGGTGAATTACTAGTTAAAGCATAAAGGCGGCATCTTTTATTAATTAAATAATGAAATTTCGATTTCGGTCCAGATACAATTTTAGTCCAATTTTGCACAAAATTCCTATTTCAATCAGGATTGGTTCTGGGCTTCTAGCTATAAAATCACACCTTCCTCAACCTTGATATCCATTCAGAGATCCTTGGAGACAAGAAAGAAAGAAATCAAGAGTCGCAAGTTGTCCTGGGAATCAAGAAGAAGACTAGGGAGACTTGAGAAAATTCTTTGGTTCATTCTTGTACTCTTTTGATGATTTGTAATTCTTTAAATTTATTTGCTATGTATAATTTAGCCATGCTTGGCTAAATTCTTTAGAGATTCTTGGGTAAAACTGTTTATGAACCTATGTGCCTAAGCTCTCAGATTCTTTAATATATTATTATTTGGGTTTAATACTTGTGTTGCAATTGTGATTTTATTGTTTGATGCTTGTAATTAGTGGTCATAGTTACTTGTTTCGTTTGCTTTGTTTGTGTCACAACGAGAGTTGGGCATAACTTAGGGCACACACAATTGCACCTAACTGTTGCACCTTGAGAAATGGTAATTTTGTTAGGGAGTTTAATTAATGATTATTGCAAATCGAGAGATGGTAGTAGTTAGGAATTTATGATGCTTGTACTTGTTTTATTGGGTGTTTAAGCCACGAGAGTGGAAATTCACCAGTGTTAGTGACTACGAGAGTAGTTCTATACCACTTTGCATCATCACACTCGTATGAACCTAGATTTAATATTACATTAGGATAGGCACTAGGGGACTTCTTTACTCTCTTCCAGAAAATTGTTCTCGATTAGAAGGTTTTCCTCATTTCCTTCATCCGATTAGTGAAGGACTGGGTGAGTGGGTTCTACGACTTCCAACGAGACATTTTCCTCAATACCGTAAGCCAAAGAGAAAAGACTCTCACCTGTGGCCTGCCTCTGAGTGGTCCAATATGCCCACAATACTCGGTCTAACTCATCGGCCCAGTTTTCGCCAACATCTTCGATCTTCTTCCGAATGCCATCCACAATGGTGCGATTTATGTTCTCCACTTGCCTATTGGCTTGTGGGTAAGCAACCGACACCTTGGTGGGCCGGATCCTATGCCGTTGACAAAACTCGGCGAACGGTTGACAATCAAACTGTCGACAATTGTTGCTGACCACATGCTCGGGAAGTCCGAAGCGACAGATTACTCTCTTCCACAGGAACCGTCGACATTGATATTCAGTGATCGTGACCAATGGCTCGGCCTCCACCCACCAAGTGAAATAATCGATGGCCACCATGCAAAATCTAAGTCACCCTGGCGCCTGTGGTAGAGGTTCCAGAAGGTTCATCCCCCACTTAGCAAAGGGTATGGTAGTCGTGACTGGGGTATAAAACGTAGCGGGTCGGGTATCCTTTCGAGCAAAGGATGGACACATAGTACGCTTTGCTACCTAGTCTACACAATCTCTCATTATGGTGGGCCAGTAGTACCCTTGGATGACCAGCTTCCGAGCAAGGGTATGAGCTCCTTGATGTGCCACGCATATTCGTCGATGTGCCTCTTCCATTATCTTTTCTGCCTCCTGTCCCAATAGGCATCGCAAGAGAGGTCCTCCGAATGACTTTTTATACAGCCGGCCGTCTATTATGTATAAGGAAGGGGCTTTTGTAACACCCCAGATTTTCAAGGCTTTTAAAACTTATATAATAAAGACAGAATCTCATTAAATCCCAAATTACGATACAAAGAGTACAGGGTGATATGCCATACCCGAGCTAGAGAACTCGGGTGCACAGGCTGAATTCTAAACCTCAATCAGTATCAATACTAAAGCATGGCACGTAGGCCGAAAAGGGAAAACTATCTAAGCTACGCCTCAAGCTTCTAACACGC